AAAACATGATCCCATTTGGTAGGGAGTGGCTAGAACAGGCGATCAAAGCTTTACATATGAATATGTAGGAGAAGAAATCTGCTGATGAAGAACAGCAGGGCCATATTGACTCAGGTGAGCGATGTGGCCCATGGGCCTCTTGTAAATTTACATTATTTTATTCTCTGAATATATAAAATCTGCAAATTTTCTCTGTTTTGGATTACTAAACGATAACGCGTTTAATAAAATTATAAATCTGGTATATTTTCCCGTTTATCAACTTGAAGCCAAATACCCTTTTGACCAGAAATTATTGTCTCTGAATAACAAGAACAATTTTCTGATGGAGATAGTGGGCTGTAATTTTTTTTTTTTTACTTGATACTAATGGGCTTTTGCGGTTTTGTCATAATATGCCCTTGGTCATCTTGAAAGAAAATAATCTTTTCTTCATTGACTTGAAAATAAATAATTAAGCTGATACGAAAAAATGCCCCCACCCCTTCTCCACACTAAACTAAAACAAATGTCCTACTCGGAAAATGGGAGTGAATGGTTTAGGACAAGTCACTTCCTTAGTCAAATTTCTTTAGATATACGTTTTTTTTTTTTATACCTTGTCACAAGGATTCCGTGTTTACTGCTGGAGCGGGATGTCTAACCTATCCGTGCCTGGAAGCATTTGTTAACAATAATATCAATAATAGATGATAAAGTCAGGCCCGTAGGAAGCAATTTCACTTTGAGGGGTCACAACCATGCATTTTCAGTCGGGGAGGGGGCACTATCAAGTACAAAAATTCCTTGACAAGCAACCCAAAAAAACAAAAAAAAGTCATCAGACGGGGGCACAAGCATATAGTAGCTGTTTTCTATAGTATTCTATATATCGGCAAAATTATTGGGGAACACCCCCTCCCCGTGCCCCCCCCCCCCCCGGTTTCTACGGCCATGTAAACAGAGAGTTATCATCACTATAATTATATTTATAAATTCAAAGATTAACATGGACATATATGTAAATTTTAATTATACAATAATTAAAGTGAATACTATCCTAGAAAATACATGTATACTTGTATCTATATTGTACAGGTGACATACATATTGTTTATAAGTAAAAATTTTAATCAAATGTTCACTTGGCTTGATAAAACAGCAAAAGTAGGAACTTCACTAAAAAAAATCAAGTATACATTATTATAATAATCATCCCTAATATTGTATAATAGCCATATGTTGTTAAGCAGTGCTAAATTTGAACATGTATTCTTTAGATCTTAGCTTAAAACTCTTCTGTATAATTGTTATAAAGCTAACAATCTTAAGAAATGCACGTCATCCATGACTGTAGGAACCGGAAAGGGGGAGGGGCATGCTGTCACCCCAATACTTTCCCCGTTCAATAAGCTCAGGTGGTAGTTATACAAGCGCGGATCCAGGATTTTTTTTTCCAAGGGGAAAAAAAAGAAAAAAAAAAGCTATGCTTGAATAAAGCCTTTGAACATATTTGAATGATTTTTTTTATATTTATTTAGACATTTATGTGAATTTTCATAAAACATAACTTATTCGGAAAAGCGAAGAGAGTTAAATCTATAATTTTGGGAAAACTTGTGTTTATCACTATACATGTACAAATCAACGGAAAACGGATACCCCCCCCCCCTTTGTGAAACAACAATTTCTTTTTACAGGTATTATGAATTGTCAAAAATTCATACTAAAGGTTTACAGACAACAACAATAAAAATAGTTACATGTATTTTATTACCAATTTCAAATGAGATAACAAGTAAAAAATATGTTTTTATCTATCTGATATGTTGAATTTTACATAAGTGAAACATGAATAGTCATTCATCCATTTCCATGAGAATTTGAAAATCTGGTGATGTTTTGAAGCCTGGTTTCAATTGATAAAATTTTCTTACCCCCCCCCCCCCCCATGAAAGGAGTTGTCCATAAGAGCAATTAACTCTTTGACACTGGTTTTAAAATTATTAATCCATTACTAATGAACTTTTCTTTGCATTATTACTAATGAACTTTTCTTTGCATTCAAAAAAGTTTCAATGGCCAAATTCCCATTGTACGAAAGTCCATTGAGCTCATTTTCGTAGATAAAAAGTTACGCGTTATAACGCGAAACTTTCGCGAATAAACGCGTAACTTTCGCGTTATAACGCGTAACTTTCGCGAATGAACGCGAAACTTTCGCGTTATAACACGAAACTTTTCCTGTAAAACAGAGACATTTGCATAAGTCTACAGTTTGTTTTACTTTTTAATGATCTAGTTTATTCATTACAGTGAAAAACGAAAGACTATTTTGAACTTGGATTATCACGAGCTGAAATTTTATGTTTTCTCGCCATTGAATGTGTCTTTCCTCTTTCTAAATCTTTTTTGCCGTCACATTTTGTCTTTCTCAATGCTGTTCAATACAAGTGTTAAAGCGTATAGTAGAGGAGCGAAAATACAAGTATAATTTTAATTAGATTGAACACTCTATATAGAATTTGAGATAAAAGATCTCAGAAAATTGACAACAATGAGGTAAATTTGTATTTCACGGAACAATTGTGTCACATCACATGAGTAACCTAATGTGAAAATTGGATGACAAATATTCGTATCAAATATTTCATCTCCGATAGACTCACTGAAGAAATACAACATTTTATTACATTTTCAACAATGAAATACTGTGATTTATTTATTGAATAAAAGTGATATTCTCTCACAGTGTGAAAGGATATCAAAATGATATTCTCTCACAGTGTGAAAGGATATCAAAGTAAGTAAAAAATAAAGTCTGACCTGTCATAAGATAGAGATAGTAACTAAGCATCTTGATAGACCTAAAACTGCAAATTTCCTCCCAAATATGTTGCTAAAATCCATGCTATGTAATGTTTTCAATCACACAACTGCTAAGCTATGACGTCTCAACCGCTCAACTATGACGTCAAGCCTATGACACTGTGTTATGAAAAGACAGAGGCAGAGTAAAAATCAAAGAAAATGTAATAAACAGAAAATTCAATGTTTTGTAGATGAATATGGAATTTATTTCACTCGTGAGACAGGATTTTTCGATATTTTCACTCGTGCTTCGCACTCGTGAAAATATCAAAAAATCCTGTCCCACTCGTGAAATAAATTCCATATTCATCTACAAAACATTGAATATCCTCTATGTATTTTAAGGTTGCACCATTTGGTCATACCATTACTTATTACGAAAACATTGACAATTTATTCAAAGAAAGCAACGAGTGGAGATCTTCCTGAGAGAAAAAATTAGTCTACAGAATTTCTTGGATTCAACAAGTGAAAAACAAGAAAATCTTTAAAGGAATATTCATTTAATTAATTAGTAGGGTTTTGAGATTAAATGCAAAATCAACACTAATCTATCCATTTCTCGCAACTATTCTCTTTTACATCTGTCATTTATAAAGTCATAGAAGTCCCCCTCTGCGTTCATGTTTTTTATCTGTCAGTCAAGATCACAGGTTCCTGAGTAACATGACTATATATGTATAATTTCGCGTTATAACGCGAAAGTTTCGCGTTATAACGCGAAAGTTACGCGTTTATTCGCGAAAGTTTCGCGTTATAACGCGAAAAATATATTTTTGTTACCTACGAAAATGAGCTCAATGGGCTTTCGTACCATTGATATTGAATCAAATGGATGTAAAATGTAAACGGGAATTAGCGTTAGCGTGTGTAGTTCTTACAAACAATTGCTGATTTAGGAACTTTGACGGGGAGAGAGGAGTAAATCGAAAGAATTAGTATTTCCTCTTAATAATAAAACATTTATTCCCACATTTCTTTGCTGGCAAATAATTCAATAGCTTTTTTGACCGGGTGGGGGTGGGGGTGGGGGTGGATGTTGTCACGTACGACAAAGAACAACCTTTAATCCTTTTATATTTTACTGAATATTATAATAACATAACTTTTGCCTAGGGTAAAATATCTAGTAATATCTTTTAGTGTGTCTTTTTACCCTATGAAATGAAAAGTACCCATATTTGTGATTGTTGTTTTTGTACGTGTCTTATTTAGATCGTTTTAATGGATAGTCTTTGGGGGGGGGGGGACATTGGTGGTGGTGGTGGTGGTGGTGGTTGTGGGCGTCCCCAAATAAATTGCCAACATATAATATACAGTAGTGCTTCCTTAATAATGGCGCCTGTGACCTTTTTTATTACTTGTCCAGGGATTTCTGTTGGGTTGTGCCTCTTTCTTTCTATTTATTCCTTCCTCGCCTTCACCGTTTAAAAATTCCTGAATCCGACAATTTTTGTTATTATTGTAATTATTAAAGATTAAAGATATAAAAAGATAACAAAACAGGCAATATAATATATGAACAGTGACAGTTGACATTAAGCAGTGAGCAGTAAGCAGTTGGCTGTCATATATGGAATTCCACATATTTCAGATTTTTATATATATATATATTTATATAAAAAAACTGTTTCTTAATTATCAGAAAATCGATTTGATTTGCGATTTCTGATAACAAAGAAATTATTTATTTTACATTCTTTCTTTCTTTCTTTCTTTATTTATTTATTATTATTATTATTATTATTATTATTATTATTATTATTATTATTATTATTATGTAGGCTATACAGGAAACTACAAGTCATATACTTTAAGGCACCGATTTAATTTAGAAAAGTTTAAAGCTATATGGCGATATATATATGGCGTATCTGAGCTAAATAAATCGGTCAGGCCTATTGTTTTAGACTTCCAATATCTTTGAAACGTGATTGATTTAAATTGTATAATTTACAGGAAAGTCCTATCTTTATAAAGTAATAAAAAAATAGAAAGAATTATTTTTTGTAATTTTAGGTAGTCTGAACTTATAAAAAGTACGCCGGAATGATAATCAATCCGAATCATTTAAGAGTGAATTGATAAGAATTTTAAAATGGCGCGATATATGAATAGAGTTTTATGGAGCGGTGTCAGACGAGGATTGTCGTTTGATGAACAGATCAAAACATTGAAGAACTAGAAGAAAGAAAATATCCGATGTGTATATTAATTTTAAAGTCAGAATGAAGTGAACATTTTGAAAAAGAGGTTGTAAGCGTATAAATATGAGGAGGTCATCCGCCCCAAGCCAAGGACCTCAGGCCAAGAGACCTAGATTTAACGTTCCATTCAAAAGCCCTTGTCAAATACGAAACACGGTAGGCCCTGATTTATTAGTCAGCCCACTGTTAAGAATTTCTTTTTATCCTTATAATTTTGTGATAAAATAGTGAATAATTCCTGTAGTTTTTCTGGTAACGTGGTGACAGGGAGTCAGGTACTTGCTTTAAAATTTTCATATTTTGTGGACAAATTTATTAAACATAACATGTTATAGTAGTCATATACTTTTCTACATTTATGTTTTTTTAAAACTTGAAATAGTATTCTTTAGGCCATTGTTAAAATGAGAAATGCCATGTTCTAATTGTTATACTATCCATTGGCATGTAATTTTCTTATTACTGTAATCATTTTATGTTTGTCTTACTCTATTTTGGGCTCTACAATAGTATACAGTTATGGAATGGGTATGAGGGAAATAGCAAATTTATGGTTCCCCGAGGGAGGAAACTATTTCCCGAGGCGGCGAAGCTGCCGAGGGAAATAGTTTCCTCCCGAGGGGAACCATAAATTTGATATTTCCCGAGTACCCATTTCATAACTGTTTTATTATACCGAAACAATCATAGGAGATTTAATAAACTAGAGACTCAGACATTTTTTAAAACAATATAGAGGCATTTAAATAATCGCAAATGCATGTGATTGAAAATATTGTAAGATAACTAATGCATCAATACCGAGGAAAATAAAAATATTAAAAAATATATAAATTTTCACCGACATTTTGAAGGATTATCGTTGTCTTCATTTTGCTAGAATTACAGTATGATTTTGACATCGCATGTCGAAATGTTTTGACATCATAGTTACATTGCTAATAACATTACGTCACAGACTCGAGATTCCTTGAATGCTCCACCCACTGTTCATTTTAATTGGTTAAAATTATTAATTAATATTTATGAGGGAGTAGTCCCGGGGAGTAGCTCCGATTTTTCAGGGAGTAGTCTTCAGATGAGGGAAAAAGTATCTTCTCAGGGAAGTAGACAGTTTTATGGTATTAATTTTATATAGAGTAATAACAGTAGAGGTATAATGAAAATAAATATTCTGTTCAGTCTTTGAATCTTTTTTTTTTTTTATTTTTCCTTTTTTTTACGCACTGTGAGAAAGTCCCTTTGGTTGGTTTACTTTAGAATGCTTGAAATTTCAGGTAGAAAAGCCACCGGCAGCATCTGAATTTCAGAACAGGTATATGTATGACCATAATTCATCATATTTGATTTTTTTTAATTAATAAATCATCAAAATAATTAAAATAACTAAATAATTTTGTCTGTCATTTTTTTTTCGTAAAGTTTGATATTTATTTATGTCTAATTTGAAGAGCGTGAAAGTCTCAAGTAAACAGATGACCCATATTTGGTCATGTCTCTGAGACTTCGGCTTTGAAAACTTGTCAAATTAATGCATATTCACTTTAGAAGTAAAGAATGTAATGACTTTCTTGTAAAATCAATGATTTGAAGTTTTAAGAATAATGTCATTTCTGTATGTCACATATTTACAATGTAGTACTAACTTGTTGCTAGTGATCAGATGTTGGTAATCTCACATTCTCTGTTACATGTATTTTGGAGGAAAAAATCCTGCAAAATAAATGTGTCCTGGGATATGATTATGTTATATTTTATTGATTTATATCTCACACTCATCAGGGCTCTCACACCACTTTTTAGCTCACCTCGATGAAGTCGAGATGAGCTTATGCTATACCCCCGGCGTCGGTGTCGGCGTCCCGGTTAAAGTTTTAGGAGCAAATCCATTCCCAAGTAACCATAAGCCCTACCTGGACCAAACTTGCATGGATGATGAATCTAGGGATGGACACTACCACACTTGCTTCGGATTCTGGTTCTGACCTACATTTTCCAGTTGAGTGACCAGGTTAAAGTTTTTGGAGCAGGTCCATTCCCAAGAAACTATTAGCCCTACTAGACCAAACTTGCATGGATGATGCATCTAAAGATGGACACTACCACATTTGCTTTGGATGCTGGATCTGACCTAGATATACCAGATGAGTGACCAGTTTAAAGTTTTTGGAGCAGGTCCATACCCAAGTAACTATAAGCCCTAACTTGACCAAACTTGCATAATGATGCATCTAGGAATGGACAACCACACTTGCTTCGGATGCTGGATCTGACCTAGATTTTCCAGATGAGTGACCAGGTTAAAGTTTTTGGAGCAGGTCCATTCCCAAGAAACTATTTACCCTACTTGACCAAACTTGCATGCTGATGCATCTAGGGATGGACACTAACACACTTGCTTCGGATACTGGATCTGACCTAGATTTTCCAGATGAGTGACCAGGTTAAAGTTTTTGGAGCAGGTCCATTCCCAAGTAACTATAAGCCCTAGCTTGACCAAACTTGCATGGATGTTGCATCTAGGGACGGACACTACCACACTTGCTTCGGATGCTGGATCCGAACTACATTTTCAAGATGAGTGACTAGGTAAAAGTATTTGGAGCAGGTCCATTCCCAAGTAACTATTAGCACTACCTTGAACAAACTTGCATGGATGATGCATCTAGGGATGGACACTACCACACTTGCTGTAGATTTTACACATGAGTGAATTTTAGCCATGTTTTAACCAAATTAGCATGGATGATGTAGCTAAGGGATGGTCACTTCCAGACTTGCTTTGGATCTGAATCTGACCTACATTTTCAAGATGAGTGACCAGGATAATTTTTTTGGAGTAGCTATACAACATTATGGCCTGTTTTGATTAAACTTGCATAGATAGTGCATTTAAGGATGACAATTTCCAGACTTACTTTGGATGTTGGAACTGACTTAAATTTTCTTGATTAGTAAACAGGATAAATTTTTTTGAACAGGTCTATTTTCAAGTTACTACATGTATAAGTCGTACTTGAACCAAACTTGCCGTACTTAAACCAAACTTGCATGGATATTGATCTTGGGATGTACACTAACTAAAAAAAGAATATGATGTGAAATTTGCCTTACTCAAAGATAACATTCGTCGAGGTGAGCTTCGTAATCTTTGATTACCTATGTTTGTGAAATAAGGAAAATTGGCAACCTTTTTCAGCAATTTGGGAAAATCATTATATTACCGGTACATTAAAATCATCATTGGGTGTCTGGTATTTGTTATCAACTAAGTTTATGTTTTGCAGTACAGAGTAATATGAATAGTTAATTTATTAGATGTTCTTTACTTTTATGGGGAGAGGGGGTGGTCAGTTGGGAAAATTAACACATCTAATAGGGAAAAAAGGAACCTTTTTTGAATTGGGAATGGGGCTTTTGAACAGCCCCAATTAAGAGAATCAAGAGCCCTGCTCAATGACAATGCGTAGAATTTACAAACAATAACACCTGTGTAAGAGCTATCTTGTTAATATTTGGTACTCTGTCATGAAAAGGAGTCTAATTTTAAATTCAGGGATAAGGTTTTGACATCAAGAACCAGTGAAAATACAATTTCTCCCAATGAAAGACTTCAAAGCAAAGAGAAAATTCAGTCGGTATTTAAGACAAACACTGCCTCTCCTGTCGCTCAAACAACATTAGGTAATGGTATAACTATTTTTTCTGTGTTAACAAACAATGGATTTGTTCGATATTGTATCAAACCATGTTGTAAGTGATACATGTATTAGGAATTTTATAATTTTTTTTTTCCAGAGAATGCTGTCGTTCCTTGTAGGTACTTTGCAGTCATGTGGTGTAAACTTTCAAAGAAAAAGGTATGATTATGGAATTTTATTTGAAATCCTGATGTACATATTTGCAATTTTCATTATAGAATAATCAATTTTGGCTTCATTTTGAATTTGCTATTTCCTGTTCATTACACTGATTTTTGTTCAGACTTTTATTTCAATACTTTTTTCATGGAAAATAGCGAAAATAAACTGCATTGAAAATTACTATGAAATCATTATACTAGTAATACTTGAATTTTTATGCCCCGTCATAAATATGGCTGGGGCATATAGTGTTAATGTACCTCTTCCATCCTTCTGTCCTTCCATCATAATTTGCAGTTAGCTCAGTTTCAAGGAAACTATTTCAGATATTTTTATCAAACTTCATATGATGATGAGAGCTTTTCAACTTCATCAACATTTTTTGATCTTGACCTTTTCAAAAATTTGTGTTTAGCTCAAACCTTTTCTTTGGCCTTGACTTCATTTTTCTTAAATTAGTGTTTAGCTCAGTTTCAAATAACTTTTTAAGATATTTTTATCTAAACCTTATATGTTGATACACAGATTAATTGACCTTGACCTTTTCTTTGACCTTGACCTCACTTCTTAAATTTGTGTCAGCTAAGTTTCAAAGAAACTTTTCAAGATGTTTTTATCAAACTTCATGTGCTTTATACATATTGATGAGAGCTATTCAATTGCATCAACATTTCTGAGCTTGACCTTTCCTTTGACCTTGATCTCACTAATCTCTGTTTTATGTTTTGCTTAGTTTTAAAGAAATGAATCGAGATATTTTTATCTTACTTCATACAAGTTGATACAATTTGGTGAGTGTTAGTGACGTGCATCAAAATTTTTTTGATCTTGGCATCTCCTTTGATCTTGACCTCAATTTTCTTATATTGTATTTAACTTAGTTTCAAAGAAACTATTCAAGATATTATTATGAAATCTTATACACTGATACATAATTTGGTGAGAATCTATCAACTGTGTCCAAATTTACCTTGACCTTCCCAATGACCTTTGACTTTACTATTTATTGTGTCTATAACTTAGTTTGAAAGAAATACTCAAGATATCTTCATCAAACTTCATGCAGTAATATAAATTTTCATGTTGCATTGCTAATGATTTCTGGGTGGGGCTTCGTGTCCTATGGACATATTTCTTTTAATATGGATTGTCTGAAATTTAATGGTCTGCCAGGATGTAATGTTGTGGATGAGCAATGCCTTATGAAAGATAGAACCTTTACTGTGGCACCATGATAATCTGGATGCTTCATCTTCTGGAAAGATATTTTTTGGGAACCTTTTTTTTTTCTAGATTAATCTGTCTCATAATGTGAAAATTAGTGTTGGGCAACCTGATAGACAATTTCTACTACAAGCTAAATATTTCATTGAAAAATGACTCATTAATGCGGACAGTAATTTTTTTCAACTAACAACTATTTTACATCTTGCCGAAGTGAAAAATTGCTTTAAAAATATAAGCTCTGCAGTCTTTTTGAAGATGGTTACCTGTGATCTCCAAATAATAGTTTTACTATAATATTTTTCACTCATATGGAGACACCACCACTTGCTGGTGGAGGGCTGCAAATTTTAACCTATGCTTGGCTGAGTGCCAAGCAGTAAAGGATCTTTTTCGTGCCAACACCTACTGCGACTAGGGACCTCGGTTTATACAGTCTCATCCAAAGGACTGGTCTCCATGTCCTCTGAGCTTGATTAATTTATAATAATGAAATATGGCATCATACAACTGTGACAGATCAAACTTCAGTCAATTCATTCAGTCACCTGCCGAAGAGAAGAGTTGATTAAAGGTCCTACCGGTGTTAAGAAACAGGTTTACGGGTAATCATAAACAAAGGTATTAGAATTGTTAGTTTTTTTTTCTCTGCCTTTGAATTGATATATGTACCAGTATGTGTACATGTTTTGAGAGGGTTTTTAAAGAAGGGATTCACTTATACGGTCGATCATTTATCCAGATGATTTCAATGAAGACAAAAGTGTCCAGATTAACAAGGTGCCATTACATGTATACAAAATGTATATGATTATTCCATTATGATGTAAATTTGGGTGAAAGGGTAACCACAAAGTCCATGAAAATTGAACCTCCATGAAATGAGAATTCCACAGAAGTATGTGTACAATTGTTTTCAATTCTTTAAGGAAGAAAATGCGAATTATGCTATTTAGAGGACAGTTTTACATTGTCTATAAGTATTATAGCCAAGTGTTTATGCTTATGAAAGAATCATAATGATACATAATAAATATTGTTTTTATTTTCAGCATAAAAAGTGGGAAGGTGATGGTATGTATGTGTGTGCACATTATATAAATAGTATATGATTTTTAGGGTAACAGTTGAAATTGACATCCCAAGGAAAACCGTTATCAATTGACGTGTCAGCGGAGGTTGACAGTGGTTTTCTGAGGGGTGTAAATTTCAACTGTTACCCTCAAAAACATGCACTATTTATTTTATTATACTGAATGGCTAATTGATTTAGAATGTCAGCAAAAAAATTTGGAGATCATCGTAAAGTTTACGTTTAGAAAGCTTTCAAACTCCCCGCTTCTGTTTTTCTCAATAAGAAAGCTTTGAAAAAAATTTACCGACCCCTTTATTATTTGGTTGATACTCAGAGAGTCCTTTATCATATAAAGTTTTGTTATTTCTGCACCTGCAAGCGTTTTTCTTCTGTTGTTTTCAATCAATCTCATTGGACGCAAGCTTTGATCACACAAATGGCGTTTTGAGAATTCTAGGTGAACCTTGTGCACATAATTTACACATGTGACATTATTGTCATGTTACCCATTGTCAAGTGTGTTGCTATTGCTGGGGGTAATATTGCGAATTGTTAAATGCATCTAAACCAATCAGATTTTAGTATTTAACATGAAAGTATAATAATTGTAACTACTGCATGGTATAATAGTCTTTTTAAACAGATGTTTTTATAGATGAAAATTCTCAGAAGGATTTTTTGTTGTCTATAATTTTACTTTATATTTTTAAGTCTTGTAATTTAATATTATTAAAACCATTTCAGCTGTGTTGGTGACCCAGGGAAGAAATGTCACATTGTATGACATTGAAGGCAAAGTGTAAGTTATTGTTCTTAAAATTGTCTTTGTGTGATCTCTGAAGTTCTTCCTTGTGTAGATTTGTTATGGACCCTGCAATGGTATATAAAATACATAAAAAACTGTCATAAAAAATATAGACTTAACCAAGTAATTTTCACAAGAATAGCAAGTTTTTGTCTCTAAAGATGTGCAGAAAATTGTGTGTAATAAAGCATGCAGTAAGATTAAAACACCTTAATATCACCAGAATTAAATAGGCCTAGATATAGACAGATCACCAAAATATCAAGAGAATGCTAAGTTAATTTGTTGCATTGTGTTCAAACTTTGGAGTGGACACTCTCAGAACAATGAAACATGATATTTATGTACTGCATTAAAAATTCACTTGATTGTTCAACTTACTGTAAAATACCATAGGCTTTAATGTTGTACAAATTGTGCATACACTTAACATATAGTATTATACAGTTGTATCTCAGAATTTTAATGCTTCACAGTCCCACACAAATGTACAGTACAGGATGCTTTCATCACACCAGTTGCCAAAACCATACACAGTATTAATCAATGTCATAGGACACATCCATCTCTGAAATTTCAGCAAAATATTTGGTTAATATTCAAACACAAAGAAAATATATCATGATAACCCTGCATGGTAAACCAGATACAAGCAAAATGAAAATAACTTCACAAAACATAAACTCGAATTGAAGAGATTTAATTATTACAAATGACATATGAAAACTCCTACAGACATTTATACATGTACATGTATATCACCCTTTTGAAATCAGGTATAGTGTTATTTGGATATACATGTAATATTATTGCTAAAAAGATGTAGCAAAACTTAGCATAATGATGAATTTCCTTTCTAGAAAATCTAAGGATACACTAAAACCCTAGAAAAAGTTTATGAATGTAATAAAATAGAATCCACCCTTTGAAAGCCAAAATAAATAAGTCAAACCATATCCTAAATAGTGCATAAGGAGAATCAACCTCAAGAAATTCAGCTGAAATAATTTTCTTAGATCAAATCATTTGCAGGGTTCACATCACTAGATAAAGACCTGTATGTATAATTAATTTTGACTGCCTCAAGGCCATTCAACTCATTGAAGATGGCTGATTTGTCCATTCTCATTAACTGTTAGTGATTTTTTAATTCTTATCACTTTATTTAGTTTATGATTGTTGGAATGACTACCACATAGTATAAACTAAAAAGAGTCATACAATTTAACCTAAGGACTCTAGTTTAGTTTTTTGTTTTATTTCTGAATTCACAGGATAGGAAAAGCTACAGGGTACAAAAGTGTAGAGCTTGAGGCACTTAAAGAGGATGAAACTCTAATGATAGGAGGCAAGGAAATTCAGGTATACTTGTGTATAATACATGTAGTTATATTATTATATGCCCTGCAAACGAAGTTTGGGAGGTATATATAGGAATCACCTTTTCTGTCTGTCTGTTTAGCTGTCCGTCTGTCCATGTAACCTTGTCCAGACTGTAACTTTCATTGGAGAAACATTGGAAGCTCATACTTTGTACAAAAATTGATATGACATGGGAGTTTGGTTTGACTTTTAGTCAAGGTCATTCCAGCAAGTTCAAGATCACTGGGAGAAAAGGTATAACAATTTTGTCAGGTCTACAACTTCTTTATGGAGAAACATTGGAAGTTCATTCTTTGTAAAAAGATGGCTTATGACCTGTAGGTATGTCATGACCTTGATCCAAGATCATTTGATCAAGATCACAAAGAAAAAAATGTTTAATTCCTGTCCTGACCATATCTTGTAATGAAAAACTTTAGATGCTCATTCTCATCACAAATATGTATTGACTTTGACCCCAGGTCATTCCAGCAAGTTCAAGGTCACTGGCAAAAAAAATGTTTTATTTGTGTCCTGTTTATAACTCTCAATTGGAAGCTAATTGAAAGTTGATACTAAAAATTATAAAAATTGTTTTGACTCGAGGGTGTGTCAAGATCTAATCCAAGGTCTTTCCAACCAGTTCAAGGTCACTGGCAGAAAAAGTGTTAAATTTGTGTCCAGTATATAACTAGCTAATGTATAAACATTGGAAGCTCATACTTCACACATAAATATTACTTATGCCTTGAAGGTGTGTCTTGACCTTGACCCAAGGTCATTCTGGCAAGTGAAGGTCAGTTGCAGATAAAGTATAACATTTTTGTTGCAAGTTGAAACTTTAAGTAAGATTTTTTGTGAGCTAAAAGTATGTCATAATGGGGACCTGTGTCAATGTGGCAAGTTCAAGGTCACTGGCAGAAAAATGTGAAATTCTTGTCAGGTCCATAGTTTTGTAATGAAGAAACATTGGATGTCCATATTTCACTCAAAGATTACTTATGACTACATGATTTGTCATTTTTTTTAAAACCAAGGTCATTTTGGAAAGTGTCAAGGTCACATTTACAAAATTGTAAATGATCACTTTAAAAAAATTGCATCAGGTGGTATTATTTTGTGAGCTCACTCACAGTATCTCTAGTTTATCAGTGTGGTCTTTGTACATGATTGAAGAAAAATTAGCAATACCGGTATTTGGATTATTTTAATATCAGAAATATTTGTTAGAGATTAAATTTTGTTTATTTTGTTGATGACATACTGTATGTGTACTTAAAAAAGCGGGCTTCATATTTTAGCAGCTTTTGCGCAGACAGCGATGTGCTAATTCATGATTACCATTAATAAATGAATACGATATGATGTTTTTCATTTAATTGCTTCGATCTGCCATTTTATGCTGCCTTGAACACCGAGCCCGATTTAGTCATCTATTTTAACAGACAATAGGCCTATGTATGTAAATATATATCCATGTTTAATGTGATTTTTTTTTCAAATTCACTTTTGAGCATCAATTTTAATATAAAATGGGTTATTGGCACTTGTCACTTGGACCATTCAATCCAACCATGTCGACCCGCATACTTTATATATGTGAACCTCAACAATGTACATGTACGTACGGTATTAATTACACTATACTACTCTAACATAATTACACAGTATTGATCCTCCTGGACTAGAAAATCTTAAGTTAATTGTTTTTAATTACTAGTAGGTAAACGGTAATTAAATGCTCAACACCAAACTATGACCGCACAATAAAAACCTTAAGGCTATTTTCAGCCGGTTGGACATGCTAATTGAACAACAGCAATAATCTGATACAATGTTTAAAAATTATTTAGAGTAAGCCATTAAAATTTTACTTAAACTCATAGACAATAAGTATTTTTTTAATTTTTATTTTATAGCGCTACCTGTGTAGCGCTAATTCATGACTACGCCAACCACTCCATACCCTGTGATTGTGCTAAATTTTGAATAAGTTGATTTATGTACACATACAGTATGTCTCTAAAAATGAATCTAAAATGAAATTGTTGCCAGGGCCCAAGAAATATTTTGATATATTTAATTTTGAAATAACCTTATTATGTCCCCACTACATCATTTAAGACATCCTCACCACATCAGGGTCCTGAGTCAACACGTTGCCGTTGGATCCCTGACAAATTTCATTCGATATCTTGCGGGCTGACTGCAAACGTCTTTTGGGAAAATTACAAAACTTGATTGTTTTTCTTATCTCTCAACCAATCACATTAAGCCTTTTAGTGATAAACAATGCATTACACGTGCATTCTAGGTGTCAACTGATTCCTTTCTATTTACATTATCTGTCTACTTCAATTTGATTGGTGCTTCTCAATGAGAGAAGCAAGCCCGAAGATATCGAATGAAATTTGTCCGTGGTCCAAAGGCAATGTGTTGACTCAGGACCTCTGACATTGTGAGGATGCATTTTAGATAAAAAAAAAAATCAATGAAATTTTATCCCTCTGAAAATTTCGGCCATTACAGTTGTTGAATATTAATGCATAGTGTAACAGAAAATTGATTTGAGAATAACTTTGTTTTCACAATCATTATTCAAACTGATATACAATGTACATGTGCCTAATTTACATGCATCTTCAATATTCTAGGTGATGTCAATAATGACAGAAGAGCAGTTCAAATCTGGAAAGTGTTTTTCCTCTTTGACAGAAGCTTCTCAGGTCCCCACCATGCCGGAAAGACCAGTTGGTCAGTGGGTTTAATTCTCAGCATTAACGGTTTTTTTAAATTGATTGTTAGAATCAAGATTTTTGATTAAGGAAGTGGATCAGTGGTTGACATGTATTTAATCAACGTTTTTTTTTAAGTCTCTGCTGTAGAGAAAACATTTGTCAACCCACTGAAAGGAGGGAAACCAGCTGTAAGTAGAACAGTGTACTTGTTTTAAATTAAGGTAGATTTTAAACTGAAAATTTTACTCAAACATTTGTTTCAATATTGAATTCCATTATATATTTTGTTTTTTTTTTTAAGACAACTGTTTCTTTCTCCACCACCCCTCGACATGACCCAACTACACCCAATGCTCTTGTCTTGCCTAGACCCACTGCATCTCACCAGGTAAGTTTTGAAATGACAGAGAATTAGATATAAACAGATTCTTGAATTTATATGTACCTTGTACAGTAAAACAGTTACAATGGACCTGCTTTTAATGAATTCACATGCATAGTGAAGTGATTCTCATTTTCTGCAGTTTTGAAACATATGAATTTACAATGAATGAACAAAAAATGTTTATAGTGAATTAAAATTGTTTGTCCCTGGCACTTCCCTATAAGTGTGTATTACTGTACTTGAAGAAGAAGAAGAAGATAGTATTTTATTAACAACAATTCTTTATGTCCTCATTCATATTTAGGAGTTAATGAATACTGCAATCTCTCTGTCTTCAAACAGCTTTTTGGAGTGAAGTACAATTTTTGTCTCTATTTGCAGCCAGTCTAAAGAGCCATTTCACGATAATAAGTACTCGCAAAAATAAGGAATCTACCGTAACTGTCCCTTAATTTGAAATTTTAGATCAACTTGCTGGAAATATACATTTCCAAAACATTTACTTATTTTAACCAACCATAGTTGACATATGAAATATGCAAGTCTTTTGTGCTCATTGGAGTGAATTTAATCAGGAGATCTAAGGTATTAAAGTTTTCAATGTTCAGAAGCACCATAACTCAAGTTTTAAAAGAAGAGAAACTACATTTGTATACCAAGTATTTTTTTCATAATTAAAAAAAGATACAAAATCACTGGTCATACCACCTTAAAATGCGTTCATCCATGACTGATTTTAACACAAGTTCTTGATATTTTTCTGTTTGTTTAGTGGCAATACAACAAGAAGAACTTTCCTGTTGTGGATGTTGTTGTGGATCCGTATCTTTCTGTCCACCTTAGACCACACCAAAGAGAGGGAGTCACTTTCCTGTATGAGTGTGTGATGGGTTTTAGAAACATTTCAGGAAAGGGAGCTATCTTGGCGTGGGTATTTTATCCATGTACTAGTATGAGCTATAAAACCTTGTCTTTTATCAATATTTATATTAAAAAAATACACATATTCAAATGCTACATGTGTATAGTGGATTTAAAAGCAATTATAATTTTACAGTGATGATATGGGACTGGGAAAAACACTGCAATGCATTTCTTTGTTATGGTAAGTTCAATACAGTTATTTACTACTTGTTTACACCATCCATATATGTCTTAGAGATTAAAAAATATCATAATTTTATTTTTGGAGATATTTAATTAAAAAAAAAACTTTATGTTGATCACAGGACATTATACAAGCAAGGCCCCTATGGTGGGAAACCAACAATTAGAAATGCTCTTATCATAACTCCTGGAAGTTTAGTCAAAGTAAGCACTTTCAAGAGAGGTAACCTTGGAATTCAGAACTTGTATATCACACTATATATACATGAAAATATACAAATCAGTGCAGCAATATATTCTATATGTTCTTCTACTTAGAACTGGTTTCAAGAGATAAAGAAATGGTTGGGCACAGAAAGGTTGAAAGCATTTGCTGTTAGTTCAGATAATAAGATCGAGGTGTGTTTTTTTTTTTTCATTTAATATATGTACATAGAGTGAAAAATTTGTGAGTTGGAAAAGTGCAACATAATTTTTCTCAGTATAGAAAGATGAAGTTAAGATACATTATCATTTATTTTCAGGAGTTTATGAATACGTCCATATATCCCATTGTGATAATTTCCTACGAAATGTTTGTACGAGTTTATGAGAAACTACAGTCCTTGCAGTTTGACATCATTGTCTGTGATGAAGGTCATAGACTGAAAAACAGCAGTATTAAAACAACATCTGTAAGTACTCAGGCTGTTAAAAACATTTTCATTGTGTGCTTTCTGAATTTCATTCCACCCTCCTGCTAATTATGGGAGGGGGGGGGGGGTATTCTAGAATCAATGTGTCTACCGTCTAACTGTAGACTTGAGCTTAGTGTTTAGGTCACTTTCGAGCTAATCTTTTGGGATATCCAAACTTAACTTGTGGATGTAATCTGTACATACTTCATGAGATGTATGTCCCAGATTTTGCATCTGACCTTCATTTCATGCTACTGTGACTCAGGTAAAATGCAAATTCAAGTTCAGCATTATGTTCCAAGTTTGCCTCATATCAAAGGGTATCCAAACAAAAACTTGGAACTTTGGAACAGGTTACACTTTCCTATTGTAAACTGATTATTGATTGTGATTCTTCGTAATTTGTAAGAAGCTTGTTTGCTGTTTTATATTTTCATACCAGTATATCCTTATTGCTAAATTATACCCTTGTTATTCTGCAAATTTTAGTTAATTGCCAGTTTGCCAACACAGAGAAGAGTAGTTTTGTCAGGTACTCCAATACAAAATGATCTACAGGAATTTTACTCTATTGTGGAATTCTGTAATCCAGGATTGTTGGGTAAGTAGATATTTATTTGTTTAACATGTACATTATATGCTGATTTCTCTTGGTTAATTCAACTTCTTGCATCATCAGTAGTTGTGAGAAGTTGATTTAAAAAAATCTTACAGCAAAGTTTTTTTTTCAATTTAGGAACATCTGCATCTTTCAAAAGAGTGTTTGAAACCCCCATTGTTGCCTCCCGTCAGCCAGGTGCATCGGTGGAGGAGCTTGATTTGGGGGCTAAAAGAGGCAGTGAACTCAGTCGTATAACTAAACTGTTTGTCCTCAGACGCACCCAGGAAATCAACACAAAATATCTCCCTCCAAAATGTAAGGACTTTTTCATGGAGAAATAATTTGAAACTTTCAAAATAGGTAACAAAGTGAGCTTTTCTGATCACATTTTGTCTGGTGTCCATCTGTCTAGCTGTCTGTCTATCTGTAAACTTTTCACATTTTCGATTTCTTCTCAAGAACCACTGTACCAATTTCGACCAAACTTGCATCCTTGGGTGAAGGGGATTCAAGTTTGTTTAAATGAAGGACCATGCCCTCTTTCAAGGGGAGATAATTAAGAATTGGCGAAAATTCAGTGTCATCTCTTAAAAATCTTCTTCTCAAGAACCATTGGGCAAGAAAAAATGAAACTTATTTGAACCCTTCATCACATAGTGTAGATTCAAGGTTGTTCAAATCATGACCCCTGGGGAAAGGATGGGGCTGCAGTGGGGGATCAAAGTTTTATATAGGAACAATCTTTAAAAATCTTCCTTTCAAGAAAATCAAATCCACTATTAGTCATATTGATATGGAATCGTCTTCAGGTATCCTTGGGTGAAGGGGATTCAAGTTTGTTTAAATGAAGGGCCATGCCCTCTTTCAAGGGGAGATAATTAAGAATTGGCAAAAATTCAGTGTCATCTCTTAAAAATCTTCTTCTCAAGAACCATTGGGCAAGAAAAAATGAAACTTATTTGAACCCTTCATCACATAGTGTAGATTCAAGTTTATTCAAATCTTGACCCCTGGGTTAGGGTGGGGCCACAATGGGGGATCAAAGTTTTACATAGGAATATATAGGAAATTCAGACATCATTAACAACCCACAACCCCCACCCCCACCCCACCCCCCGGGGGGGGGGATGGGGGGGGCAGACATCTTTAAAATTCTGTTTTCAAGAGCAGCAAAGCCATGATAAGTCTTAGGAATATAGAAGCATCCTCAGATAGTTTAGATTCAATTTCATGAAAAAAAAACATAGAACCTGGGGTTAGGGTGTGGCTAGAACAGGCGATCAAATCTTTACATATGAATATATAGGAGAAGAAATTCTGCTGATGAAGAACAGCAGGGCCATATTGACTCAGGTGAGCATCGTGGCCCATGAGTCTCTTGTTTTTGTTTACCGACAGATGAGAGAGTTCTTTTCTATTATGACAAGTGAGAGAGATAATTCTTATCTATAACGACAGGTGAGATAGTTCTTTTCTGTAAGCCTACTGACCTGCAGCTGAGGTTGTACTGCCAGATGCTTCAGGGGAAGTTGTTCCGGTCCTGCCTCGGGAGTGATGGAGCCTCACATCTGATCTGTATAGGGGCTCTCAAGAAGCTTTGCAATCACCCTAGTCTAATTTTCACCAAAGCCTGCCAAGCTGAAGAATGTACAGAGGACCTAGAGGAGGTGACATACTTTTTTGCTGACGAAAAGGAAAAATAAATATTGTCTGTTCTTTGTAAAGGAGCCTGGCATATGAAACTAATTTTTATGTGCAGATCTTTTAAAACGAAACACTTACATATTGTCAGTAAAAATCAATGTAACAAAGCAATTTAGGTAATTAGTGAAATCTTATCATCATACTGTAAAACATGGTTAAAACAATATTGCTATATTTTATCCATACACTAAAACTCGCTTATAACGAAGTGCCAAAGACAGAAATGTGTCTTCGTTATATACGTAATTCGTTTTATCCATTAAGATCACAATACATGTATATTTTAGAGTCATGGGGAATTTAAAATCACATTGCTGTAGGCGTCAATTCATTATAAATGTGCTCACTATAAGCGTGTTTTACTGTATTTTAATACATGTATATCCAGTTTATGATTCAATATTTATAGCAGTGAATGAAGAAAAATACTGTCCTGTTGTATGCAGGATCCTGCTCTATCCATTGTTTGCTATAAATACACTGTATATGTAGGTTTTACTGTGATCAGGTTTGATTCTTTCTAGGGGTCTGTGTACAGTGGACTGTCCTCTCTCTTTCCTCCAGGATACCAAGAAGATGATTGTTCAGCAGAACATGCAGGGAAATTAAAAGTTTTGTCTGAAATTCTAAAGCAGATACACATGAACTCAGAAAAGATAGTGGTAGTTTCCAATCACACCAAGGTAGAAGGATTTTACACTGTTCATCTAACATAATTGTACTGTTCAATTAATGACTGCTGAATTTTGACTGTGTTCTTTGACATACAGGTGGAAAAACTGTAGTTCTTAATTTGTTGTTTGTGCAACCATTTGGGCGAACTCAGTTGTATATTTATTTACATGTATATTAGGGATGTCAACGAATATTCGAGTACTTGACAATCGTTCGATCATACCGACTATCGACTAAAATTCATTTATTCGTTTATTCATTAAAAAATATTACAAATAATAGTAATTTTTAATTCAAGGTAATAAACTTGAATCTGATCATTTTATTTATTCACAGACAAATATTCTCGTAAGTAAAACTCAGGTAAGGCTTAACTGTTCAAAGGAAATTATTTGTATGTCAATTTATTTTCGGCAAACATGCCTCCAAAATCTACAATTTTGGCATACTTTAAAAGATGTCAGGATGGAAACACAGTTAAAAGTATGTTATCAAGGTTATTTGAAACTGAACTTGGATTTTGCAGTGGAACATCAAACATGATGTATCATATGCCGAATTTATCAAACATATACACAGTCTTCAAGTAAAAATTTCCTAGTAAGTTCTCTGCAAAAATGCCAAAAAAAAACAGAGCTAGAAAGAGAAATGTTGTTATTACAAACATGATTATCAAGGATTGTCTACCTCTTATTGTTGTAAATGGAGAGGGCATTCAACAATTGTTTCGTTTTGTAGATTAAATTATAAAGTTTCAACCAGCAATACCGTAAGATCTGACGTAATGCAACTATTCATAATGAATAATTAAACAGCTGTTACATAATTGTAAATACATGTAAATTGGGGGACAGTTATGAGCGTAAATAAATGTGTTTCTTTCTGATAATAATATGATGCAGTCATTTTAAGATGGTATTAATTGTTTGCACAAAATCTCATAATTAAAATTTATTGCAAGCTCTCCTGTTTTTATAAGAGGCAATTGTTTACCAGTCACAGGTCACTGACATGACACGTACAAATGGCTTCAATTAATGGGTACATGTACTAACATTATAAAACAAGAGGCCCAGGGGCCACATCGCTCACCTGAGCACTGTGGCTGCAAAAAAAGCAAAAATCAGTTTAGTATTGCAATGCTTAAAGAGGCTGGGGGGTTGTGGCCATTTTTAGACTATATTGATCTCCTTTAGAAGAAGAGCTCCATATGAAGATATAGAAAATGATCAAATTTTAAAACTAAAATTTTTGAAATTTTTCTTTGCCAAATGATAGTTGACAGCTTAAGATATCATATCTAAAAAATCAAGTTAAATCTGGTGGTTAATTTGTGGTTAATTTGTTGACCCCCCAGCCTCCTTAAATGCATAAGTGGTCCCGATCTACCCCTAAAAGGGAGGAAGCTGGGGGGTATGATTTCAACAAAATTGAATCTACACTAACTAAGGATGCTTACACATTTTTTTTGACTAACTACCCTACAAGTTTAAACTTTCATTGTGGCCCTACCTACCCTGGGGGTCATGATTTGAACAAACTTGAATCAACACTATCTCAGGATGCTTCCATATAAATATGACCAATCAAGACTTTGCTGTTCTTGAGAAGAAGATTTTTAAAGATTTTCCCTAAATATTCTTATGTAAAACTTTGATCGCGCACTGTGGCCCCATCCTACCCCCAGGGGTCATTATTTGAACAAAATGAATCAACACTACATGAGGATGCTTCCATAAAAATATGACCAATATTGGCTTTGTTGTTCTTGAGCAGAAGATTTTTAAAGATTTTCCCCATGTATTCCTATGTAAAACTTTGATCGCCCTCTGTGGCCCCGCCCTACCCCCGGGTGTCATGATTTGAACAAACTTGAATCAACACTATCTGAGGATGCTTCCACATAAATATGACCAATCAAGACTTTGCTGTTCTTGAGAAGAAGATTTTTAAAGATTTTCCCTAAATATTCTTATGTAAAACTTTGATCGCGCACTGTGGCCCCACCCTTCCCCAGGGGTCATGATTTGAACAAACTTGAATCAACACTACCTGAGGATGCTTCCACATAAATATGACCAATCTTGGCTTAGTTGTTCTTGAGAAGAAGGTTTTTAAATATTTTCCCATGTATTCCTATGTAAAACTTTGATCGCCCTCTGTGGCCCCGCCCTACCCCCGGGTGTCATGATTTGAACAAACTTGAATCAACACTATCTGAGGATGCTTCCACATAAATATGACCAATCAAGACTTTCTTGTTCTTGAGAAGAAGATTTTTAAAGATTTTCTCTATGTATTCCTATGTAAAACTTTGATCGCCCAATGTGGCCCCACCCTACCCCCAGGGGTCATGATTGGAACAAAATTGAATCAACACTATCTGAGGATGCTTCCGTATAAATATGACCAATCAAGACTTTGTTCTTGAGAAGAAGGTTTTTAAATATTTTCCCATGTATTCCTATGTAAAACTTTGATCGCCCTCTGTGGCCCCGCCCTACCCCCGGGTGTCATGATTTGAACAAACTTGAATCAACACTATCTGAGGATGCTTCCACATAAATATGACCAATCAAGACTTTCTTGTTCTTGTGAAGAAAATTTTTAAAGATTTTCCCTATGTATTCCTATGTAAAACTTTGATAGCCCACTGTGGCCCCACCCTACCCCTGGGGGTCATGATTTGAACAAACTTGAATCTACACTACCTGAGGATGCTTCCACATAAGTTTCAAACTTTCTAACACAGTGGTTCTTGAGAAGAAGATTTTTGAAAGATGCCATCAATTTTTCATGAATTTGCAATTATCTCCCCTTGGATGAAGGCGTGGCCCTTCATTTGAACAAACTTGAATCCCCTTCATCCAAGGATACTCTGTGCCAAGTTTGGTTGAAATTGGCCCAGTGGTTCTGGAGAAGAAGATGAAATTGTGAAAAGTTTACGACGACAACGACAACTACGACAGACAACGGACAAATTTTGATCAGAAAAGCTCACTTGAGCCTTTGGCTCAGGTGAGCTTAAAAAAAAAAGGACAAATGTGAGCGTTTGATATCCTGCATTTAGATAAAATGTGCAGTAAATATTGTATTGAAATCAAATACATTGGATACATATATATAGAGGATATTCAATGTTTTGTAGATGAATATGGAATTTATTTCACAAGTGGGACAGGATTTTTTGATATTTTCACGAGTGCAAAGCACGAGTGAAAATATCAAAAAAATCCTGCCTCACGAGTGAAATAAATTCCATATTCATCTACAAAACATTGAATTTTCTGTTTATTACATTTTCTTTGATTTTCCCTTTGCCTCTGTCTTTTCTTAATAACACAGTGTCATAGGCTTGACGTCATAGTTGAGCGGTTGAGACGTCATAGCTTAGAAGTTGTGTGTCAGACTGAAAACATTACATAGCATGGATTTTAGCAACATTTGCAGTTTTAGCTCTATCAAGATACTTAGTTACTATCTCAGTCTATCTTATGACAGGCCAGAAATTATTTTTTACTTACTTTGATATCCTTTCACACTGTGAGAGAATATCATTTTTGGTATTCTTTCACACTGTGAGAGAATATCACTTTTATTCAATAAATAAATCACAGTATTTCACTGTTGAAAATGTAATAAATGTATTTATTATACTACGTAAATATAACAATTCGAAAATACATTGTATAATGTTATAGTGTAGGTTAAATATTGTACAAGTAGTCTATTAAAGACAAAAAAAAAGAAATGACTTGAAAAATTAATTTAAATTTCAACGAATATTTGACTATCGTTTGACTAAAGCCTCTGACTATTCGACTAAGCTCTCTGAATAAAATTGACATCCCTAATTTATATACAGGTGACTCTCGATGGCTCGAACTCCTATCTCTCGAAGTTCTCTATCTCAAGAAGTTGAACCCCTTTCCCATTTTTTCCTCTGTATATCTAAGCAAGTTTACTCCGAGTAAATTTGCTTAGATATACAGAGGAAAAAATGGGAAAGGGGTTTAACTTCTTGAGAAAGAGAACTTCGAGAGTAACTCAAGATCTCTCGAACTTCTGATTTCTCGATCTCTCAAACCTAGTCCTGGGTCCCCTATGTGCTTAATCCAAATTTTCTATTTGCTTTGGTGTTGCTTTAAGAGCTGGGTGTGTGAATGGTGCTTTGCGCCACTCACTGCTCTCACTATTGAAATTTTTTTGATTTACTTGAGAGTACTTTAAGATAAACCATAAATTAATATTCACTGTATTTTGCATCATTTTGTATTATTTTTATGTAGACATTAGACATCCTTCAACAGTTCTGTGGCAAATGTGGATATGGCTATTTACGATTGGATGGTCAAACACCTACTAATATACGACAGGAAATTGTCACCAAGTTCAACAGCAAGCATTGTGTTGAAAGTAATTATGCTAAAAGTTTTCAGATTACCTGAGCTGAAAACTCAAGTGAGCTTTTCTGATCACCTGTTGTCTGTCATTCATTCATCCATCCATCTGTAAACTTTTAACATTTTAAACTTCTTCTCAAGAACCACTGGGCCAGAAAAGCTGAACTTATATGGAAGCTTCTTGAGAAAGAGTAGATTCTAAATTGTTCAAATCATGGCCCCCAGTTCTAGGGTGGGGCCACAATAGGGAAACAAAGTTTTACATTGAAATATATAGGAAAATCTTTAAAATTATCCTTCTCAAGAACCACTGGACCAGAAAAACTAAAACTTTTGTGGAAGCTTCTTGAGGTAGTGAAGATTCAAAATTTTTCATATCATGGCCCCAGGGGGTAGGGTGGGACCACAATAGGAAATCAAAGTTTTACATTAAAATATAAAGGAACAAGGTGTGTTTGTGAAACACTGATGCCCCCGTATGGCAACTTATAGCAAAGGTTAAACTTTCTCAAATGCAAATCAAATATGTTGAAACCCAATGTAAGGTCTTGTCTCGAGGAATAAACCTGTAAAATATGAAAGGCCTAGCAGCAACCATTGAATAGATATGGAAAAGGTTAAAGTTTTTTTCAAAAGTATGTCAAACATCAAGGTCAAGGTCAAATGGTCAAAATTAATGGTGCCAAAGGAAAGGGCTTCTCCCAAGAAATACACAGGTGAAATATGAAAGCCGAAGCACCAATCATTCAAAAGTTATGGCCAAGGTTAAAGTTTTCCAAAAGTAGGTCAAACTCCAAGGTCAAAGGGTCAAAGCTGTTAGAATTCAAAGAAAGGTCTTGTCACAAGGATTACATGTGTGAAGTATGAGAGCCCTAGCACCAACCGTTCAAAAGTTATGGCCAAGGTTAAAGTTTTCCAAAAGTAGGTCAAACTCCAAGGTCAAAGGGTCAAAGCTGTTAGAATTCAAAGAAAGGTCTTGTCACAAGGATTACATGTGTGAAGTATGAAAGCCCTAGCACCAACTTTTCAAAAGTTATGGCCAAGGTTAAAGTTTTCCAAAAGTAGGTCAAACGTCAAGGTCAAAGGGTCAATGTTGTTTGTATCCAAGGAATGTCTTGTCACAAGGATTACACATGTGAAATATGAAAGCCCTAGCACCAACTGCTCAAAAGTTATCGCAAAGGTTAAAGTTTTCCAAAAGTAGGTCAAACTTCAAGGTCTAGGTCAAAGGGTCAAAGTTGTTTGTATCCAAGGAATGTCTTGTCACAAGGATTACACATGTGAATTATGAAAGCCCTAGCACCAACTGCTCAAAAGTTATGGCCAAGGTTAAAGTTTTCCAAAAGTAGGTCAAACTCCAAAGTCAAGGTCAAAGGGTCAAAGTTGTTGGTATCCAAAGAAGGTCTTGTCACAAGGATTACACATGTGAAGTATGAAAGCCGTAGCACCAACCTTTCAAAAGTTATGGCCAAGGTTAAAGTTTGATAAAATTTTGCAAAACTGGGTCAAACTCCAAGGTCAAGGTCAAGAGGTCATATATGGTGTTACCCAAGCAAAGGTCTTGTCATAATGAAAACTCATGTCAAATATTAAAGCCTTACCCTTGACAGTGCAATAGTTATGGGCTAGATTAAAGTTGACAACAGACAGACAGACAAACTGACAGACAGGACAAAAACAATATACCCCCAGGATCTTTCGATCCTGGGGCATAATTTTTTTTAAATCTTCTTCTCAAGAACCACTTGGCCAGAAAAGCTAAAACTTAGGCGGAAGCTTCCTGAAGTAGTGAAGATTCTAAATTTTTTCAAATAATAGCCCCCGTGGGTAGGGTGAGGCCACAATAGGGAATCAAAGTTTTACATTGAAATATATAGGAAAAATCTTCTCAAGAACCACAGGGCCAGAAAAGGTTTATATGGAAGCTTCCTGATATAGTGTAGATTCTAAATTGTTCAAATCATGACCCCCGGGGGTAGGGTGGGGCCAGAATAAGTATTTCAAGGGGGAAATCTGGTGAAGAACAGCAAGGCCAAAGTTACTCAGGTGAGTCTTGTGGCACATGAGCCTCTTGTTTTGCTTGTCTTTTTACTGGACTAAGAACTTACTTGATTAATTTTTATTTTAATTTCAATTTGTTATTCTACTACACAGAGGTATTTTTATTAAGTTCTAAAGCTGGAGGAGTTGGTCTGAACCTTGTAGGGGCGTCCCGTCTCCTTCTGTACGACATTGACTGGAACCCTGCCAATGATCTGCAGGTGAATGTGTCAGCTGTTTTTAATATTACAAAAAATATGCCTATAAAATGCAAAATGATTTCAGCACCAAAGAAACATAAAATGAAATTCAATTGAAATGTATGTACATGTACTATAAAATACTAAGTTTTCCATGGAGATTAAAGTACATGTACTTGTATTTCAGTCTTAATTCCATAAATTTAACCATTCATGTAAAACAGAATGGTAAACAATGCTTGTCTCCCCTCTTTCTAGGCAATGGCAAGGGTGTGGAGAGATGGGCAGAAAAGACAGATTTACATCTACAGACTTCTAACAACTGTAAGTTAATGTCAGTTCCATGTAAATTACTAAAAAAAAATATACAGTTTTGTATTACTTATCACAGAGCACCCTTGGAGAAAAGGGAATATCTGTAGGCTCCAAATCCTTGTAAGGGTAGATAATAAATTATCCTTGGATGAAGTTATTTCAAAGGAATACATAGGAAAATCTTGCAAAATTTACTGAAGAACAACAAGGCATACCTAGGGTATATTTAGTTTATACAAACATCCTCATGTATACTAAAATGAAGGATTAGAAGCTATTTTTGAAAAGCTTAAAAATATGATCAGCTTTTTCACATTTATTTTCATCTTTTAAGGGGACTATTGAAGAAAAGATTTATCAACGTCAAATCAGTAAGCAGGGTCTTAGTGGAGCCGTCATGGACCTCAAAAACAAGAGGGAGGCTCAGTTTTCCCTACAGGAGCTTAAAGTAAGGAGTTGCATGTACTTGTTCTTTATACCCCCTGCAAACAAAGTTTAGGGGGGGTATATTGGAATCAGCATGTCCGTCTGTCTGTAGATGGGATTTCTCAGGAGACTATTGCATGGATTTGTCTGAAAATTTGTACACTCATTATTCACCACGTGAAGGATTGCACCTGGTATTTTCATAATGATTAGATAATATTTCTACATTTTACAGGTTTTTTTTTTTTCATTTTTATTAGATCACATTTTGTCCGGCATCCGTCTGTCCATCTGTCTGTAAACTTTCCACATTTTCGACTTCTTCTCAAGAACCACTGGGCCAATTTCAACCAAACTTGCCACAAAGTATCTTTGGGTTAAGGGGATTCAAGTTTGTTCAAATGAAGGGCCATGCCCTCTTCCAAGGGGAGATACATGTAATTACAAATTAGGGAAAAATTAATACCATCTTTTAAAAATCTTTTTCTCAAGAACCACTGGGCCAGGAAAGATGAAACGCACATGGAATCATTCTCAGGTAGTGTAGATTCAAGTTTGTTCAAATCATAACTCCCATGGGTAGGGTTGGGCCACAATGGGGGACTAAAGTTTTACATAGGAATGTATAGGAAAAATCTTTTCAAGAACAGAAAAGCCATGTTTAGTCATACTTATATGGAAGCATCCTCAGGTAGTGTAGTTTCAAGTCTAATCAAATGATGACCCCCCCCCCCCCCCCAAGGGGGGGTTGGGAGGGGCCGCAATGGGGAATCAAATTTTTAACAAAGGAATATATAGGGAAAAATCTTCTGCTCAAGAACAGCAAAGTCATTTTTTATATTGATATGGAAGCATCATCAGGTAGTTTAAAATTCAAGTCTCCCCCCCCCCCCCATTTAAACTTTTCAGTACTGAACTGATTTTGGCTTTTCCTAGCCAATGTGCTCAGGTGAGCGATGAGGCCCATGGGCCTCTTGTTGACTTAGTCATTTCAGGTTTATGTAGGTTTGATTCATAGAATCTAGAACTACCAGTTGTGCATTACACAGCAGATAGTGTAATGTAATTTATTAATGAGCAAATAAATTTTCACTCTAAATGTTTAAACAAATGTAAACACCTCTTAGATCCTTAAAATATGTTTAGTGACTTGGCACCTTTTCTGAAAAACCCAACGGGGGGTATTTGTCCATTTTGGACAGTTATAGTTCGATCCATGGGTCAGTGTATGCAAAATTTTCTATTTTTGGCACAACTGCATTTTGTCACTACATGTATTATCAGTCAGAAGATAGCCTCACTGACTACAGCATTCATCAACCTGATATGTTTCCATAGACACTCAGTATCAAACCTAAGTAATAATAACTACCGGTAGGTAATTAATTAATGAAGATCAGAAGTTACTTCCACAAGAAGAAATCTTTACAGTTTAGAAATTATATTTTATAGTGTATTTAATTATACAGTTGTTCCCCCCCCCCCCCCCCCCCAAATGTTTTCATATCCAACACATTTTGATTTCATAAGTACATGTACATGTATATACATGTAATGATAATAATTACCATTTCATGAAATTGACATTTTGTCATTTTCTAAGCATTAGTATATACTGCAAGTTTTATTTGGTACTATTATCTGAATTCAGTCCATAGCAGGGTACATTGCCATGTTTGCATTACTCTTGGTCAGCACACTTTTATCACATTAGGATTTAATTGGAATTTTTTTCTAGGATTTGTTTTCTTTAAATGAAAACACTCTGAGTGACACTCATGACCTTCTGAAATGTGAATGTGGAGGACAAAAAGAAACAACTCCTGAAACTGATCCTGCACAAAGCTCTAGGTCATGTCAGCTGGGGATTCCACCCATTCAGGTATGTCTATGCTGAATATATTGATTAAATATTGATGCATACAGAATTAAATATCTTTAGCACAATGGCAACTCCTTCATATTTTGCAGAAAAACAAGACACTGGGTATGGAAGAGCTAATGGATTGGAAACATATATCTGGGAATGTGCTTAACAAAAATACGGTAAGTAAACCTCCATCAGTGTACTGTAGATCACTATATTTTCTCGACACCTTACTTTCGTGAGATTTTGTTGTTTGGTATTTATAAAAATAAAAATTCAAAATTCTGGTCATTGCTCTGTATACTCTATAGTAGAAGAATTATACAGGAAAATAAAGTTCTTGCAAATAAAAACTGATTTACAGTACTTTTTCTTGTTATTCATCATCATTTACAGAACTCAACAAAATATCTGTTAATTGACAGGACTGGTTACTTGGAGATGCTCCCTCTTCCATTACCTTCAGCTTCTGGCAAAAAATCAACTCTGAAAAATCTACAACTTGTACAGACTGAACTGGTTTCAAATGCAAAGGGACATATAAGAAACTTGATGAATACAAAACATTTACATGTACCTTAAATAAGGATGTATTAAAATATGAGTACATGTAACGTGTTTTAAATAAAGTATCAAATAAATTAATTAATATTGTGACAATTTTTATTGAAAACATTAATCAATGTCAGAGATATTTGAGTGTATTTTATAATACTAAATACAAGAACATGTAGTCAGAATATCATACCACAATTACTGGTACACATGAAACGGTACAAATATTCAGATGACAAACAAGAACATACATGCTGAATTCAGCACCATTCCTCTTGATCAGAAGGCATGTTTTTAATGAGACCCTGAATTCTACCCAGGATTATTTCATTTGTACTACGACAATTCTCTGCTTCATAAGGTGGCTCAATAAACAGTGCATCAGAAATAGACAAAAGTTCCCCATTATTTCCTGTTACTTGCACTGGTAAACGATTCTTCAGCAGCCAGCTTTTTAATGTATTTTTCTTTTTCTCCAGTTCTTCCTCCGAGAGAGATTGAACTTCAGGAGGCCTAAAAAGGGCTTCGATTCTTTTCTTGTAGGTTTCAGAGTTCTCATCCAGAACAGAAACTTGTCTAACACTGGGTCCCATTATTAAGTCCAACTGGGTTTTGTCGTCCATAAAAGACAATAGAACAAAGGTTTCTGATACAGGGTCAATTGTGTACACCCACCCTGTTACCTCTTTACCATCTTCTTTTAAAACACTGACTTGTTTGTTGAGGTACTGCATTAATTCTTCTGGATCACGTTTAAAGATAGGATGAACGGCTCCATTTACTTCATCTGCCATATTTTCAATTGAGTATGTAATACTAAGTTATGTTCAAAGTCACTTCTTAACGATTCAGGTCAAATTGGTCGGAATTCTTGTACTTTTCAAGTAAAGCTGTCTTGATTGTTAGTTGATTTCTAAGAACATCAATTTGTTTAAGTTGCTCTGTTTTGCTGCATTGAATTCCTGGCATTTTATCCACAAATTCTCTAGCCTTTTCCAGCTTAATTTTCAGTTCTGTCATTTTTTGGTTGACAACATCATGAGATTCTTTGTCAATGCTGAAAAAAGAAAATGCATAAAATTCAAAATTAAAAACTCAAAATTAATGTAACAAAAATTAGTACATGTGTATTAAAAAAAATGAATGAGAATTCAAAAGCAAAATCTACATGGAAAACTCTCATCATGGGAAGTTTTTTTGGCATGACTTTAGTTGATATCCCAGTTGATAAAAACTAAATTCAAAATATCATTACATGTGACAAAAATTTATTGCACACAGATAATTTAGTATTCTTTAGATGAAAACAGATATGCATTGTATCTAATTTTATTGAAATATTTAAGGAATTGGTCCTATTCCTTTATTTAGTTGGAACAAAAAAATTGGATATACTCTATATACAATTGTTGATCATTTTATAAAACTATATTGTATAGTACTACAGACTCACTTGTGTTGAGGACCTCCAGAGACAACAGATCCTGACAAACTCATTATGCTATAGTACTGCTTGAATAAGATATGTATATGCGAATATTGATGTATCGTTTCTTAAAGATATTACCATGTATTTATTAATTAGGGTGACTTTGAATTCATTTATCTCTTGCTTGTTAATTGTTTTGTTAGTAGTATTCCATCAGGGGAAGATAACGTTTGACCACAAGCATAGATTTTAACAGAATTTTTATTTATTGTTAAAATGATATAGTCCTTCAGACCTGGTTTAACAATATCATTCATAAGCAAATTGAAGGGGGGGGGGGGGGTGTTAGATAATTCTAATGTACATATATATTATGAACAATTCTGAGAGTTCCACATGTCTAAACAATTTACAACTACTGCCTTGGCAGTACTGTATAGTATATGTGCGTTCCCCTGATTTAAGTATGGTATCTTTTAGTTAACCAGCAAATTTTAAAAAGTTGACATTCCAATGCCATATAACCTGATAACGTAGGGCTGTTTGTAACCGTTGAAAGGTAAATAAAGTATCAGGAATACAAGTAAAAATGGTAATTAGATATCATCATCCTATAATAAAGGAAATAATACCCGAAATGAACGACAAAAAAACTTTGCCGTAAATCAAAGGGTTTTACAATGATTGGATCTGAATGTAGGGTAACGGGTGGGTTAGCACCAATAACATGTTCCCTCTGAGTGGTTTCGCAGCGAGTGGTTTCGCCCTGATTATATCTGTTACCTGTAATTAAAAGGTGTCAAATTTTTCCCCTTGTGTATTTTGGCAATTTGCTATGACAAACGTTTGTGGTTTTTGCATATGTGCTATGGAAAAGGTTTTTATTGTATATAATTAAAGTGATCTACATGGCACACCTATTTGATTACGTTTTTAATGATACTAATTCTTAATTCTTAATAATTCTTATTCTACTTTGATCAAACTTTGAAAAAAAGATGGAGAATGTCAGAATATAATTGAAACACTTAAACTAAACACATATTTTATTTTAACACAGCTTAATTAAGTTGTTTTTTTTTTTTTTTTCCGTGTTCAGGATTTTTTAAAGAAAAGTTCGTATCATAGATCTGTCGTGAAAATTGGACTGGAAATAATTATTTATTAGCACTGATCGGCAATGGTAGACAGACATCTCGGCCCAAGGACACCTTGGCCCAACATACTTGACACCTCAGCCCTGACAGGTCAGCCCAAGATTGTTGACACATCGCCCATATAAAAGACACCTCAGCCCAAGCAAAATTTTATGATGGATATAAAATAACAGATTAACCCAGCGTTTGAATTGATATTATTATTGGTGAAATTATTCTTTCTGACGATATATCGATTTTTTAATTTAAAAAAATGGGGGGCTTTGATAGATAATCGTTCTATTTTTCCAACTTTATTAGATAGTCTTTCATTAACATCTATGTCTTGTGGGAAATGTAATTTTTTTTGTGGCAATATCATGGTTGCAACTGCTAATCTTGTATCCAAAAAAAAAGAAGAAATGAAAGTAATTTTTTTGTTTATATAGTTCTATATATCGTATAAAGAACTATGTTTAAACATGTCAAATAAATTGCATTATTGGTTTGTACTTCATTGTATGATTCTCTTTCTTTCTTTCTTTTCTTTTTTCCTTTTCTTTTTGAAAAGCACACGTACTTGCTTTGAAACAAGTAGCCTGAAAAAAAATAACGGGCTCGAACTAGTTATAAGCGACAATAATAAATTTATGAATGGAAGTGTTTTTCTTAAGAATTAAATGAGAAATATTGAATGGTTGTAGGCCCCTAAATGTCTTTAATTACCGTCTCCCAATTAAGTCTGCTCGTAATTAACCCCCTGTTGTCATCAATATAACACACACTTGACCCTCCAAAGGATGCGCCGAGGCATTTTGTATGCTTATCAATTAGCACTTTGAATATCGTCAATGTGCTCGCGATCGATGAAGGTCTTCTTTAAAAAAAAATTGATAGTTTATTCATGTACTGTTGTCATCAATATAACACGCACTTGACCTTCCAAAAGATGCGCCGAGGCATTTTGTTTGCTTATCAATTAGCACTTTGAATATCGTCAATGTGCACGGGATTGTGGAAGGTCTTCTTCAAAAAAAAATTGATAGTTTATTCATGTACTTTTTTAAATCAATATTTAATTCAATTCTCAATATTAAATGGAAAAAATATATTTCATAGTAAAATTTTGCGTGGGCCAAGGTGTCTTATGTATAGGCCGACCTGTCTTAAATCTTGGACCGAGGTGTCTGAGCCGAGATGTCTTTGGGCCGAAATGTTAATGGGCCGAGGTGTCATTTGGCCGAGGTGTCTGACATTCTCAGCAACTTATAACTGAATTTAATTAAGGTGCTCAATAATTATATTAATCTAAATACTCATTAATCAAACGACTTTGCTTAAATAAACATCAAGCACACTGTATGTTTGAAGAAAACCACTTGGGGCAAATCACAGGAGTTCGCAATTTTATCAATAAAGTCAATAAAAATCACTCGATTGACCAAGCCATGAGCTATGCGTTAGCATAGTGAACAGGAATGCAATGCGTTTTTGGAGAAATCAACCAATTTGCTTTTACCCACCGCTTATTCAATACAACTCGTCAGCATTCATATCAAACAACATTTCTCTACTAAAATTTGCTTTCTGACCCTTATTAGTGCCACGTTATAAGACTACCTTTTTAATACATCTCCAATTTGTTGAAGAAAAGAGAGTTCGTTTTCTCCCGCATCCGCCATATGGACGTAACAGGTGTCCTTAGTTTCGGATTATAGTAAATGAATAACAAGTTATTTATATTAGTTAACAAATGTAAATTGAGTGTGTGTAAAGTATTTTTATTAATACTGGCAGTGTCCACGAATTAATAAAACTTTGGTTTATCAAAATATGATAAATTCTGACAAGTACGAAAACAATGCAGTGAATTTCATGTCATGTGACATTCAAAATGGCTACCTACGAATGGTATCTTAAGCTTTTGATAATATCTTTTATAATTATCTCATCAATTATCCGCTTTAGACACATAGCATCTAATGTCAGTTTATATGATATAACAGTTTGTGTACCTGAAAAGGAAAATTTAGTGTGAAAAGGCCCTTGCTTAAGATAAAGAGACTCCATTGATTAATACGCCCACTTTCATCTTTTGAGAAATTGATGAATCAACACAGTCTTCATCAACAGAGACTGTGCTGACTCATTGAATTCTCAAAAGAGAGAAACTGTTAACCAGAGAAATCCAAACACATTGTGATGAATGTCATGTTATTAATAACAGTTTTTTTCTCTAAATTATTTCATTTGAAAGGATCTCAGTTATGGTCATACAAAGATATTTCATTGGTTATATCTTTACAGGCAACCGCTGGAACGAAATTACGATTTAGAATTCCAGAAAAAGTCATTGGTTCCAGAAACAGCTCCATCACATCCTTTACAAAGCATCACTGTAAGAATTAAACAAATGAAAATGAACTAAAAATCGATCATGTCAACATTTCATTCTTCTGATAATTTTTGTGTCACCTGCTAAGCAGAGGGACATGTAGAGATTACTCAGTTCTCTGCTTTGTAATCAATTACATGAGTACCTTTTGATCTGCAAGAGGAATTTGATATTATGCAGATGTATTGACATAGAAGAAAGGTCTTTCTTATGCTTTATTTATTAAAGCATAGCTATGCTTCATGCATGATATAAAGCAAATTTTAATTGCATACATGTATCTAGGACCTTTAAAGTGAACATTTAGCCTGATGTATTAAAAATGTATATATTATCATTTATCACTGCTAAATTCTAGTATGAAAATGTTAACTGCACTTGAAATGTTTGGCATATTCTATATGAATATCATGTCAAGAGCATGCATAAATTTCCATAGTTTTTACTGATATTGTGACCCTGGCCTTTAATGTACTCTAAAAATTGCTATTGCAGGAGACACATTTGCTCCATAAAACAGTCATTTTTTGTATTTACTAAATTAGGTTACAGATGTGAAGGCAGACAAGAGAGGTACCCAGATAAAGAAAAAGTCAGAGGATGTAAAAACAGCAGGTTTTGTTGACCCATTGAGCATGGGACCATTAGCCACATCTTTTGAAGGGTCAGACCCATTATCACAGATAGCCTCACAAGGAATAAGCCAAGCACCACGTGGCACCAGAACAAAGGTTAAATTTATGTTTTCATCATTTCTGTGGAAGAAGATGATAATTATAATAAGAAAATGTGCTGGAATTTGTATCTGTCTTTCAGTCTGAAAATGGGTTGGAT